ATTATACTAATTAAGGTTAAACACTTAGTTCGAAGCATGACTACAGTATAATGCAAGGATAAATAGTCTTTTTAGGGGTACCAACAGATCTGTCCATACTATTTTAGCATATTTTTCAAAAATAAACAAATTTCTTTTCACAATATTACGGTTTACTCTGTGACATACAAAAGGCATGCAGGTATACATTAGACAATTGCTTTTAATTGAATCACTTTTCAGGAGAAATGAAGCATGCTTCAATAAGCTGTAAGGGTACCAACAAATTTGTTCACATTTGAATCTTTCAATGTTTTTAATATATTTCAGTGTTTGTATGTGTGCACTTCACATTTAATAGCCTAGCTGTCCTGCTTAAAGTTACTGGTAGTAAATGGACAGAATTATGAATTAAATATTTGAGGAAGATGGTGGCGCAAGAGGTACAGTAGTGCTATCGTTCGGCAACCAGAGGATTATAGGTTCGAGACCTGATTCCTCCTGAACCCATCAAAGTGTCCTTGAGCAAGACACTGAACCCCAAATTGCTCCCGGTGTGCGGGTTGGTGTCTTGCATGGCAGCCTCCGCCACTGGTGTATGGATGGGTGAATGTGAGGCATGTATTGTAAAGTGCTTTGAGTACTTGTAGGCGTAGGAAAGCGCTATATAAATGCAGTCCATTTACCAAATAATTTATACAAATTATTAATGAATACATATAAAATACATAATATTGAAATTACATGATGTACATTGTGCCCCATAGTTTAATGCTTAAAGCACACTTTACAGGACATGTCCGGATCATTTAGGTTTATCCTTGCCGTCACATTGCAGCAAATGGCAAGTGGGCAAGTGTCGTTGGAACGCAAAACGATTGCGAGGGAACACAAAAGTATTTAAAAAAATAACAAGTGATAGCCCTAGTGCAACTGCCCCCAGTTTGGGCCTACCTCACTATTAAAACTTTCTTTTGGTATTTGTGTGTGATTTGGGTGTTTATACAAAGCTGCGTGGGAGTGTCTTGCCATCATATATGTGATATGATTAATATTCTAATATCTACAGCTAAAAAAATCTACAGTGGACCCCCTTCATCCGCAGTTTGGCTTTCTACGTTAGCAGTTACCCACGGTCATCCGCGCTCCTAAGATATTAAATGGAAAATTCCAGAAATAATTTGTGTTTTAAATTGCATGCTGTTCTGAGTAGCGTGATGAAATCTCATGCCATCTCACACGGAACCTGAATCACCGCTTCAACCAGCGCATCCACCCTGTACATGGTACCGCTGTTTAGTCACTTAGTGGCGTCTCGATTATCAGGTCGACTGTCCTGGTATCACATGTGACCAC